TCTAATGATATAATCATGTGGTTTTTGTTTTGACATCTTTTGATGTATTTAATTACATTTATGGTTTTACGAATGTTGAACCAGCCCTGCATCCCCGGGATGAAGCCTACTTGGTCATGATGGATGATTTTTGAGCTGTGTTGTTGAATCTGGCTTGCTAGGATCTTGTTGAGAATTTTAGCATCTATGTTCATCAAAGATATTGGCCTGTAGTTCTCTCTCTTTGTTGGGTCTTTACCTGGCTTGGGTATCAATGTGATGTTAGTTTCGTAAAATGATTTGGGGAGAATTCCACCTTTCTCAATCGCCTGGAATACCTTCAGTAGGATTGGTGTCAGCTCCTCCTTAAATGTCTTGTAGAATTCTGCTGGAAAGCCATCTGGACCCGGGCTTTTTTTTGTAGGTAGTTTTCTTATTGCGTAGTCAATTTCCTTGATTGTTATTGGTCTATTTAGGGTCTCAATTTCTTCTTGTTTCAACCTAGGCAGGTTGTGTGATGTCAGAAAGTCCTCCATTTCCTTAAAGTTTTCAAGTTTGTTTCCATACAAGTGTATATAGTAGGCTCTAATGATCTTTTGTATTTCTTCACAGTCAGATGTGACTTCATCTTTTGTGTTTCTGATTGCGTTTATTTGGGCTTTTTCTCTCTTTTTCTTGGTCAGTCTAGCTAGGGAACCATCTATCTTGTTTATCCTTTTGAAGAACCATTTTGTAACTTTTTATAATGTAGTAATGTGTATACAAGTACATATCACAGTCAGTTTCTCATGTCATTTAATAATCTTCTACTGAAATAAATGATTTATAATTTTGAATCTTATTGATTTATGTGTAAAATTAGGATAACACATACTCATGGGGTCTTTGGAAAAATTGCATCAAGTAGTTTAGTGCAGGGGTTTTAAAAACTCTTTAAAAATGTAAATATATGATGCATAATTTTAATTATTTAATTATTGAAGGCCAAATATTGTATTTCATTTACTTATTGTCAACTATCAAATAAATGCATTTCTATAGCCTTTATCTTATTAGAAATAAAGAACATAAAGATGGAATCGATATCATTAAAAAAATATTTTTTTTAAGAGTAAAGTCTACTGGATTCTTTTTTAAAAAATTGAACACTGTAATGACATACTGACAATTAACCATGGATGGACTAAAGCAAACAAAGCTTTATAATTATATTTCCTTTATACTTATAGTACATAAGACCAGGAGATAGGACAAAATATTTATAATTTTATTTTTATAATTTGACACTCTACCTAGACCTTTCCTTAATTTTTTATAAAAGCCTAATTTTATTTCAAATATTTTAATTACATTTATCATTATTTTGTTAATTAGAAAATATTACTTATATGTTATTGAATTTAGGATCTTGGTGATTTTTAAGGAATGATATATACTCCATTTTTGAATAAGACAAGCTAACACTGTGAGAAAATAACTTTAAGTAAGTAACGATAAACATATCATTTGTAGTATTACCTGTGCAAAGCCATGGCCACTTCGTCCTAGTCAGCCTTGAACTTCAGTTCAGAGCAGAGTGGGAAAGTAGGTCAATCTCTGCATCTAGGCCCTTTCTGCAGGGCTTATGCCACTTTCCATGACCTGTCTTTGTCCCTGTATTCCTTGTGCCTTTCTCTTATTTCACTACATGATGAGCTCACATCACTCTCGTCCTGTGAAGACATACACAAGAATGTCTGGGCTAGATTTTGCAATAATACTAAGTGCACTATTATCCACCCATTTTTACCACCAAGGAATTTGTTTTGCTACTATTCATCTCATCTAAATACAATATGTTTGAGGCAGAAGAATTGCCTGAGCCTAGGAGGTCCAGGCTGCGGTGAGCCGTGAGTGTGACTTCACTGAAAAATTTTAAAAAAGAGGAACTATATGGGAACCTTGTGAGTAATTTCAAAAAAACTTTGGAACCTAATTCCTTTCATAAATTTGAAGTAGTCTATATATATTTAAGGGACAAAGCATTATTAACTGAATGTTAATCATATTGAAAAATTATTTTAGTTTAAAGTAAGTATTTTAAGATACTTTTAAAAAACTTCAAGTCAAACCAATAGGTATGCATTTTGATATCAATTATGAAATTGGCTTGCAGTGTTTTAAATATGATAAATTTCTTCTGTGTATAATTTTTCTTACTTCTGAAAATGAAATAAACTTTAGCTACAGTGAATAAATGAAGCTGTATTCACATTTTTGTTGGGACTTTACTTTTAGAAAATAAAGCAATCTAGCTCATCTGAATGTAGTACAGTTGACATTGCTATCTCTGAAGAGGAAGAAATGGTCTGTGAACGTGGAAGGCTAAAGCATCTTAAAAGTGGTAAGAACAAAAATTTTTTGGTAATTTTATTGAAATTACACTCAATTTCTCTTAGACTAAGTAATACTATTGTATGTACTTTTAACTTTGAAGAGCTTATTAATTTACGTGGAAGATACACAAATGTGCCCATCTATAGCCAGGTAGACACATAATAAATGCCACAAAAAGAGTGAAAATTGGAAAAGAAGTAAAAGGCTTATTTTCGAGAGTCTAATGCAGTAATTAAGAGGGTTCATTCTGAAATCAGACAGCTTGACTTTTTTTCAATTCTACTATTTACTTACCCTCCCTCAGATTCAGTTTCCTAACATATAAACTGAGGGTAATAATAAGACTTAACTCATGGGATTGCTAAAAAGATCAAATTAGTGAATGTCTATGTGAGCATATGTGTGTGCATGCGCATGTATAATCTTAGAAAAGAAAGAGAACCTGACCCCACACAAAAAGGCAGCACCCAATAATAATATTGTTAAAATAATTGTCATACTTCATTAACTCCGCTTACAGAGATGTTAATTGATATAGTCAATGCAAAAGATAACTATAAGTAATGTAAGTGAAATATTATTGAAAATGTTTATCCCAAAACATATTTTTCACGCTATAAGTAATATTGTGTAAAATAGATAATGTTCATATTTAATCTTATATTAGTAACTATGATTTAACAGTAAAACAGAAAATTGGAATAATCAAAGCAGCTCTAGAAAGTATGTATATATAAACATATATATATACACACACACACATACACACGCATATATATCCAAATATACATGCACACACATATATAAACATATATATACATATATAAACAAATATACACATATATATCCAAATATACATACACACACATACATGTTGAAGTGAAATAAAGCATTCTTAGGCCTCATAAAATGCATTCAATATTTAAAAACACAAATGAAAACATTCTATAACTGTCATAGGAAGACAAATTGTAATGGTGAATTTATATTTTTAACATAAATATTAAGAAATGTTTAAGGATTCAGTAAGTAGAGAGAGAGAGTGTGTGCGTGGGGTATGTGTGTGTATTTTTGTAAGGGTAGGGAATAAGTTCTATTCTCAGACCGTTCTACTAATTGGAGGAATATTCTAACACATCCCTGACATTCAAAACTTCTTTCCTCTGATTATTACCAGACCAAGTTCAGTTTTTCATTTTCTCTTCAGTGATGGCAATGGTCACTGCAAGTAGTGGTCACTGAAATCATGGGTAAGTTAAATGTTTATAAATCAGAGACCACCTAGATTAGAATCTGTAAATAAATAGTTGCCAAAGCATAATTTAGAAAGTTTGAGATGTTTACTTTTTTATGAATTTTCTAGATTTTTGTTCTTAATGGTCTCATTCTTGACAGGTTATGGACGAAGATCTTCACCTGGTCAAATTAGTAAAGTATCCCAGAAAGGAAGAATTTGGCGGAACATCAGGAAAACCTGCTGCAAGATAGTAGAGAACAACTGGTTTAAGGGCTTTATTGGCCTTGTCACTCTGCTCAGCACAGGCGCTCTGGTAAGTAAATAGCCAGGGTGTGTGATACTTCTATGGGAAAAAAATGTATCATAATTCTGGTAATTCAGAAATTCACCAGCCAGATTACTTTCCCAAGAATATTTAATATAACAATCAAATTTCATATTCTGTAATTTTAGTTTTCAGACTAAATGTGACACTTCCTTATAAAGTTTATATATGCATCATTTAATATTAAATTTAAATATCAGTCTTAATATAATTTCAAAATATATTAGTGACAATAGGAAAATAGAATATTAATAGATACTGATTTTTCTGATTTTAGTGAAGTTTTATTTTTGAAACAGTTTAATAATCCAGGCAACCAAAACTGCTGTATTGTGCTTATACTTTGGTACCTACTCAATTAGGAAAGGAAAGTACTACAATGAAGTACTTTCTAGGACCTTTGAGATACAAATACATTTGCCCTTTGACCCACCAATCTTAGTCCTGGAAAATTCACCTACAAATATCTGCGCATGTATTAAATATATTTATGATTATTCCATGAATAATTTTTTGTAACAGCAAAGAATTGGAAGGAAAGGAATTTATAGTAGGTGAGTACTTATACTATGGTAAAATCATCCAATGGAATACTGTGCAGTCATTTTGAAAATACAGAAGTTGTTTGAATTCTGACATTACAATTCTCCAAAATATGGTAATAAGTGAAAAAAGAATGATCTAGAGTAAAGTGTATGATATGCTGCATTTTATGTAAGAAAGGACGAAAAAAATAATGCCTATTGATATTTGTTTACTTTTGATTAAAGAGATCAGAGAAGGATACACAAAAACTGGTTAGCTGTGAGATGCACTGAAGAGTACATGGAATTATGATTGTGAATCAGACTTTGCACTGCATATGACTTTTTTTTCTTTTTTTTTTTTTTTTTTGAGTTGGAGTCTCACTCTGTCACCCAGACTGGAGTGCAGTGACTACTCCCGGCCACCGCAGCCTCGACCTGCTGGGTCTGGCGATCCTTCCGCCTCAGTCTTCCAAGTAGCTGGAACTACAGGCGCGTGCTACCAAGCCCGGCTAATTTTTTGATTTATTGTAGAGATGGGGTCTCGCCTGCCCAGACGGGTCTCTAACCCCCGGGCTCAGGCAATCCACTCACCTCAGCCTCCCAAGACACGGGATTACAGGTTGAGCTACCAAGCCCGGCTGCATATGACTTTTAAATAAACTTTATATTATTTATAGCACGCATAGTGAAAACTGTAAACATTATGGTTGTACAGCATGAATGATTTCAACAAAGTGAATGCACCTATGTAACTGTCACTTGGATTGAGAAACAGAACATTACCAGGACTGCAGAACCACATTCTTACGCCTCGCAGTTACTTCTCACTCCACATAGGTAGCCAGTTTGTGAACTTCAACTGCCATAGATTAGTTTTATACATTTGTCAACTTAATGAAAATAGATTCAAATAGTATATACTTTTTCTTGTAATCGCATATGGATTTCTGAAGAGCAGGCGGTATACATCTATGTGTTGGCTATATCTAGATTTATAGATAAGTTCCATGTCAGATGTGACTAAGGGTTTGGACCCTTATTTTAAGTTTCATTAAATGATTTGAGAGGGGCTTTTTGTGTAAATATTTAAAGTAATTATGAAGACAAGTTCAGTTTCTATAAGAAGAAAGTCTGTAATCAATTATTGATGTCTGCCATTAGTCATAGGATCAGAAAACAATGCACATAGACTAAGTCAATAAATAAAAGCAAAATGAACCAGCACTTGAGGCCACAAACTATGACAATGTTCACCTTGTCTTATTAGAGATGGAAGCTCATTTGTTTCTATGTAAAATAATTTGATGTACACCTAATTCTTAATTTTTTTGCCCATAGGCTTTTGAAGATATCTATATTGATCAGAGAAAGACTATTAAAATTTTATTAGAATATGCTGACATGATCTTCACTTACATCTTCATTTTGGAAATGTTACTAAAGTGGATGGCATATGGTTTTAAAGCCTACTTCACTAATGGCTGGTACAAGCTGGACTTCATGGTTGTAATTGTACGTATTTTAAATAAAATTCAAAGGGCTATTTGGTTTACTTTTTCTTCTTTACTCTTTTTCAATTCCTTTTCATTTACTATATCTTCCTTTTCCGCCTCTCTGTATATTGTCAATCCCAATATCCCATCTTTCCTCATTTGTAATGTTTAACATCTGTCTTTTCCTTCTCATTCTTAAATTTTAAAAGTTCAGCACTTCACTCCTGAGTTATTATAATAATCAATATACCCACTGCAAACCGAATAGGTTTGTTGCACAATATCTTGAAAATATCAGCACCCTAAAAGTTTTAAATTTTGTTGGCTTGAATTTAAGTCATATTCCCAGTTAGACTACTTATCATTACCTTCCTCAGTACCATGCTGATCCAAGCTACCAAAATTTCTCACTTTGAATCATTCCGATAGATTTCAAACTGATGTCCCTTCTGCTATTACACACTTTCATTTTCTTCTCTATACAACAACCAGAGTAACTACTGTGAAAAAGAAGGCAGCTTGTATCATTTCGCTTACTGGGACCTGCCAATAAACACCCCTTTCACTCGGAGCAAAAGCTATAATCTGCAGTCAGTGGCCTGCACATCTCTTCGTGATCCAATCTTCTGCTACTCTCTCTTTCCCCTGTTGAGGTCTATCTACTGATCTACCAGCACTGGCCTTCTCAAAGCTCCTCAGATATGACAAGATTATTTTCATCTTAATGCCTTTGCTCTTATTTTTCTTCTACCTGGAACTTTTGCTGTCATTTTTGTCTTGGCTGAAATGAAACGTTTGAAGTTAGGTCTTTTTTTTTACAACCCTATTTAAAACTGTAACCACTCCAATACTCCCTTTCTCTTTCTCTGCTTTCTTCATCTCCATGGCCTCTCTTAATGTTATATAATGTATTCATTTATTTTACTATTTGCCTGTTTTCTCCCACTAAAAGATAAATTTCATTAGGGCAAAATTCTTTTTCTCAGTTTTTTGCCCTTCTTTATCTCCTGTGTCTAGAACAAATCCTGTCACATAGTAGATGCTTGATAATTTTTGTTGAATGAATGAACAAATGGCTTTTTAGTCTACAAATGATAATGGAAACTCATCAATCTATAATTAAGGACTTATAGCTGACCTGTCTTACAAATTAATTCTTGCAAATTAACCTTCTACTTATGCCAGAAAGCACTAGATCTGTAAATCATTTTTCTGTTTCCTAGTCACTGTTCATATGTGCCCATATCTCTCCATGCTTATGTAATTGATTTCCTTACTTCAGCGCCTACTTGAAACCTACCTTTTTAGTAGATGGTAAAAAGAACAATTTTTTCATGTATGTTTATTTTAAAATATAGAAAAATATGAAGATACAACCGAAGATATTCATAATACTACCATCTTGCTCATATTTATTAACCTTGGATTATATGTATGTGTATATATTTACTTATAAAAATTACGTTAGTATCTGGTTATATATTTTTGTAATTTGCACTTCTGAATTAACACTGTTCATATCCTTCTTGATACCTGTCCTCTGAAATCCTCTTTTGTATATTGTCTTCACCATATTTTTGTATGAACATATTTGTAAATATATTCCAAATTTTGTTTTCTTAAATGGATTGCAGACTATTACTGTATTGTAAATAATTATAAAATGTACTCAATCTAATTTCAAACTAAAAAAGATATAAATATTAATCTTTAATCATAAAATTAAAATCATATACTTTTTAAAAATTTATTTATCATAGGGACGAGGTCTTACCAAGTTACCTGGGCTGGTCTTGAACCTGTAGGCTCAGGCAATCCACTCACCTCAGCCTCCCAAAGTGCTGGGATTACAGGCTGAGCCATCGATCCCAGCCCATACACATTTTTAACTCAATAATATGTGTTCCTTATAACCATTAAATATTTTTGTTTTATCTTTTTAAGTGCTTTCAACACTAAATGATTCTTATAACTTTCTAAAGTTATTAAGATGTTTTGAAATATGTACTAAAATCTTCCACAAATTTATAGTAAGCTTTGATTGTGCATTTCTTTTGTAATAAATGTAAAGTTAATTTTACACATTTTTATTAAAATGGAATCCTATTCACCCTTTTTTTCATTTTACAACATATACAGGTGTTTTGTCTGAGCTTAATGGGCAAAACTCGGGAAGAACTAAAACCACTTACTTCCATCAAATTTCTTCGAGCACTCAGAGTTCTATCTCAGTTTGAAAAAATGAAGGTAAGAGAAAAGTTTCAAAACTAATCTATAGGTTTTTATTTGGAATTAATACATTTGCACAAATTAACAGTCTTTGTTGTCCTCTCATTTGCACCTTTAACAATATTAATACCAAAAAACCTTAAAATTTGCTGCTTAAAATTACAGAAAAATAGGTATGTTAGTTATGCTTATTAATATTTTAGTTCCTTATTGTTCATTAGGGACAAACTAAGAAAGATAAGCAAAATAAATGAACAGTTGAGAGACAAAATATTGTTTCAAAAGCATCTTCCAACCCACATATATATCAATATTAATGAAATTACATCCATTAAAAGTATGTGTCAGAAAATGAAGGTTTGTTAACAAACTTTTTAAAATTGTAAGATCACTAGTTACTGAGTAAAAGAAAAGTTTGAATTTTAAAATAAATTTACTTATTTAAAGTCACACATCACAAACTGTGAATTCTTACCTATTTTCTTTTTCTCAGTTCCATGTTAAAGCCTCTTCTGAACTATGTAAAGAAAATGATAGATTGAATAATATAAAATGACCAATGGCCAGTTTTTGTGCCTCTGGCTAACCTATAGAAAGAAATGAAGTTTATGACCACCTAATAAAGTTAGGTATCTAGGTACAAAATAATGCCAAAATCAGCAAGTTGTCTGCCCCCAATTTAGAGAAAAGCAGGACAAAATCTGTCAGGAAAAATGAATCTGTCAGAAATTAGACACTGTACCATTTTATGCTATACATTCCTTAAAATGACAATGAAATAGTGGCCATTGACAATTCAAAGTCAGAAAATAGTAGTCATGGTCAGGTCAAGGCTAGGTTTGGATCTGAAGTCTCATCCCAACCTCTGAAATTTCTGTATTTAAATTATCCCTGAAGATATATCATTGACTAGTATGAAGCTACAAAATTAATGTTTACTGTATGAAATAAATTTACAGTCTTAGGAGCTCTTTCCAGGCCAAATATGTGTGTCAACCATATCCACTGTTTTTACTTTTATATATATATTTTTACTCTCGTATATATGTAAACACGACTTTTTTTTTTTTAGCAGAAGCATCAGTGGACCTTTCAAAATATTGGAAGTACTAGTAAAGCATCTGTGACCTAGTTTTAGAAATAAAATGCTATTCGTTCACTGCTTGAGTGATGGGTTCAATAGAAGCCCAAACCTTACCATCAAGCAGTATTCCATGTAACAAATCGTCACATGACCTCCCAGATTAAAACATAAAATAAAATAAACCAACTATACAAGCTCATCAAAGTTATAAGGTTTGAATTAAAATTAAATGAGATGATACATGCAAGTTGCTTGAGACTGATCCTAAATGTATCATTTATTATGGTAAAAAAATAAATAAATACAATGTTATTGAAAACACAGTTAAAAGTC